TAAAATTCAGTGGGGAAAATTAGTCTAGGAAGAATAGGAAGGGGGGCAGCTAGGTGGCACAGTGCATAGAGCTCTGGCCTTGGAGTCAGGAGGACCTGAGTTCAAATCCAGCCTCAGACACTTAATACTTACTAGCTGTGTGACCCTGGGCAAATCACTTAACCCCAATTGCCTTGCCAAAAAAAAAAAATACTAAAGAAAAAAAAAAGATTAGGAAGGTCTCAAAAATGAATTTCAGAAGATACAAAGAGAAACAATTTCAATGAAGAGGAAAAAGGGAAGTTGTCTAAAAAGGACGTGGAGGCATAGTGAACTCACTAGTCAACTATTATTTCAAAAGGACATGAAGAGAAGATAGATTCAAGAGCAAATAACTAAAAATGAATATGAAAGGGTAGAATACTGCTTTAAGAATAGTGTCAGGATAATATGGAAATATTTTTAATCTGAGTGTACATGCATAGCCTATATCAGATTACACGCTGTCTTGGGGTGACAGGGGCAGGAGAGAGGAGGAGAAAATTTAGAACTCAAAATCTTATAGAAGTGAATGTAGAAAACTAAAACAAACAAATAAATAAATAAGAAGGGTGGCAGAGCCAAGATGGCAGTGTAGCAGGAAGAAGTGCAGTGAGCTCCTTCTCTCCCCACCCCAAACTCTTCTAAACAGATCTTAAAAAAATGAAATAGAATCCTGATGGGGAAATCCAAGAAAAAAAATCAGAGTGAGTCATTTTTCTAGCCCAAATTAGCATAGGAAGACAGAAAAAAAGGTCTGCAGATGCTGGTTACAGGACCTGGCCAGGAATTCACTGTCCACAGAATACTCCAGCACCCCAGGAAGAGGCTATGCACTAAGGTATGAATGAGGAAGATGGGAACGGGTGCCACCTGGTGGCTTTGTTACTCACTACTCAGTTTCAGGTCACAAATCCAGGGTGGACTGCAAACTCAACAAGATTCAGCAATGTAACAGCAGTCAGGAAAGCCAATATGATCTTGGGCTGCACTGAGAGGCACAGCTTTGAAGAGAAAGGATGACAGTCTCCCTGCACTCTGTCCTGGTCACACCACCTCTGATGTGTATAGTGCTCATTAGAAGGGATGCTGACAGGCTGTAGAAATCCAGAGGAGGGTCATAGGCATGGTCAAGAACTTCAAGTTCATGTCATATACAGATCACTGAAGGAACTGGGCATATTTAAACTCAAGAAGAAAAGGCTCATGGAAAACAGGATCACTGTTTTCAAGTATCTTAAGGATTGCCATGTAGAAGAAGAATTAGACTTCTACTTGACCTCAGAGGACAGGATCAAGAACAATGGGTAGAAGTTACATGGGCAGACAAATTTACATTTGATAAAGAAAAAAAAACATCCTAGTAATCAGAGCTATCCAAAAGAAGAATGGGCTGCCTAGGGAGGTGTTGCTGTTCAGTCATTCAGTTGTGTCCATCAGTCATGTCCAACAGTCCAACTCTTCATTACCCCATGGACCATAGCACACCAGGCCCTTCTATCCTCCATCATCTCATAAAGTCTGTCCAAGTTCATATTCATTGGTTCCATGACACTATCTATCCGTCTCATCCTCTACCATGCGCTTTACCTTTTGCCTTCAATCTTTCCCAACATCACTGTCTTTTCCAATGAATCCTGTCTTCTCATTATGTGACCAAAGTATTTAAGCTTCAGCTTAAGCATTTGACCTTCCAGTGAATAGTCTGAATTAATTTCTTTAAATATTGACTGATTCGATCTCCTTGCTGTCCAAGACACTCTAAAAAGTCTTCTTCAGTATCACAACTGTTGATTGTTGCTATTTCTCCCAGCAACTTTAATTCCAGCTTTTGATTTATCTAGCCTGGCATTTAGCATGATACACTCTGCACATAAATTAAGTAAATAAGGTGACCATATACAGCCTTGTTATACTCCTTTTCCAATCTTAAACCAATCAGTTGTTCCATGTTCAGTTCTAACTGTTGCTTCTTGGCCTACATACAGGTTCCTTAGGAGACAAGTAAGATGATCTGCTAGTCCCATCTCTTTGAGGACTTGTCACATTTTGTTGTGATCCACATAGTCAAAGGTTTTCATGGTGTCAACGAAGCAAAGGATATGTTTTTCTGGAACTCCCTTGCTTTTTCCATAATCCCATAAATGTTGGCAATTCAGTCTCTAGTTCCTCTGCCTCTTTGAAAACCAGCCTGCTCTTCTGGTAATTCTTGGTTTACATTATGCTGAACCCTAGCTTACAGAATCTTGGGCACAACCTTATTGGCATGTGAAATGAGTACAATTGTTCAGTAGTTTGAACATTCCTTGACATTGCTGTTCTTTAGGATTGGGACATAAACTGATCTTTTCCAATCCAGTGGCCACAGTTGCGTTTTCCAAATTTGCTGACATATTGAGTGTAGCACTTTAACAGCATCATCTTTTAGGGTTTTAAATAGTTCACCTGGAATTCCACCACCTCCACTAATCTTATTGTTAGTAATGCTTCCTAAGGCCCACTTGACTTCATTCTCCAGGATGCCTGGCTCTAGATCAACAACCACTCCATCAAGGTTATCAGCGATGTTAAGATCTTTCTTAAATAGTTCTTTTGTGTATCTTTACCACCTCTTCTAAATCTCTTCTGCTTCCATTAAATTCCTACAATTTTTATTTTTTATCATGCCAATATTTCCATGAAACTTTCCCTTGATAACTCTAATTTCCATGAAGAATTCTTTTGTCTTTCCCATTCTGTTGTTTTATTCTATTTCTTTGCATTGCTCTTTTAAGAAAACCTTATCTCTCCTTGCTATTCCCCAGAATTCTGCATTCAGTTACACATATCTTTCCCCTTTTCCTTTACCTTTCTCTTTCCTTCTTTCTTCTGCTATTTGCAAAACATCATCAGACAGCCATTTTGCCTTCTTGCTTTTCTTTTTCTTTGGAATGTTTTTTGTTGCTGCCTCCCATACAATATTGCGAACCTCTGTCCATAGTTCTTCAGGCACTTTATCTCCCAGTTCTAACCCCTTAAATCTATTCATCACCTCCACTTCATATTCATAAGAGATGTTATTTAGGTCATACCTTTATCATCTGATGGTTTTCCCTACTTTTGTCAATTTAAATTTGAATTTTGCAATATGAAGCTCATGATACAAGCCACAGTCAGCTCCAAGTCTTGTTTTAACCGAATGTATAGAGCTTCTCCAACTTTGGCTGAAAAGCATATGACCAATCCGACTTCTACACTGACTATCTGGTGATGTCCATGTGTAGAGTTACCTTTTGGGTTGTTGAAAAAGAGCATTTGTTATGACCTGCAAGTTATCTTGACAAAACTCCATTAGTCTCTGCCCTGCTTCATTTTGTACTCCAAGGCCAAACTTGCCTGTTATTCATGGCAAATAACCCCCATGTCTTTGCCAAGAAAACCCTATGGACAATACTAAAATGAGAAAAGAGATGACATTGGAAGATGAGACCTTCAGGTTGGGAGATGTCCACTATGCTACTGGGGAAGAGCAGAGAACAACTACAAGTAGCTCCAGTACTAATGAAGTGACTGGGCCAAAGCCAAAATGAAACAACTACAGATGCATCTGGTGATTAAAGCAAAGTCCAATGCTATAAAGATCAGTATTATAGAGGAACCTAGATGTAAGTTCTATGAACCAAGGTAAGCGAGATGTGGTCAAACAGGAGATGGAAAGATTAAACATCAACATCTTGGGTATCAGTGACTTAAATGGATGGGAATGGGTGAATTTAATTCAATTGATTATTATATGTACCACTGTGAGAAATAATCCCTTAAAAGAAATGGAGCAGTCCTCATAGTCAATAAAAAGGTGAGAAAAGAAGTACTGAGGTATGATCTCAAAAATAACCAAATGATATGTTTGAATCCAAAGCAAACCAGTTAACATCACAGTAACAGAAGTCTATGATCCAACCACAGAAGCTGAAAAGGCCAAAGTTGATCAATTCTATGAAGGGAGGTGGTGGGTTCCAGCAAAGGCTCTACCTAATGGGATTCTTTTTCAGGTGTGAATTAAATTAGATGACCTTCCAATTCTGAATTCTAGGAAGAACCTGATCTTCCAAGACTCTCAGTCAACTATACATTAAAGAACTGGAAAAGGACAATGGGATAGATTTTACTGACCACAAACATAAGGTTTAGGGGACACATTATAGTTGTATTTAAGTACCTAATGGCCTTTCATATGAAAAGGGATTGAACTATTCTCCTTGGCCCCAGAGGGCAGAACCAGGAACAATGAACAGAAGTAGCAAAATGGTAAATTGTGCTTAATAGAGGTGTTCAAAAATGGAATGGATTGCCTGGGGAAGTTATGTGTTCCTTTATTGGAGGTTCTGTTTGGAATTCAAAGTCCTTCATAACTTAGCACTCTCCTACCTTTCCATTCTTCTGACACCTCATTCCCCAACTCCTACACTTCAATCTAGAGATACTGGTCTCCTGGTGGTTTCACAAGCAAGACATTCTATCTTTCAGCTCTGGAAGTTTTCTCTGGATTTCCCTCATGCCTCATGTCATTGACTGGTTTCCTTGGCTTGCTTTAAGTCCCAACTAAAATCCCACCTTCCACAGAAAGCTCTTCCCAGTACCTCTTAATTCTAGTGCCTTCCCTCTGTTAATTGCCTCCTATTTTCCCCATATATATATATATAGCTTGTTTGTAAATAGTTGTTTATTTGTTGTCTCCCCCATTACATTGTAAGCTCCTTCAGGACAGATTTCATTGGCATACACAAGTCCAAGAGAGGAAACTCTCTACCAATGCAGATTGTTCTGCAGCTGATAGTCTAGTAAAGTTGCCTGGGGAAATGAGAAATGAAACAACTTGCTCAGTGTCAGAGGGTGGGACTTAAACCCAGGCCTTCTGGCTCTCTCTCCACCAAACCATACCTCACTGTTTTTCAACCTTAGAACATAATCTCTAGAATGCGAGCAAATTCTATGGCTCATACCTGTTTTAAACTACATACTTCAGATTCCAGTTTTTTATTTGCTGCTGACAGTCTCTTATTTAACTGGATTGCTTCATGTACTGCAAACAGATAAAAATATTTAGAAAAAATGTTATATTTTAAATATTCTATATCATTATTATTGTGCAATCATCTGTCCTGATGAAATAAAAATTAAACCAAAGATAACATGATTATTTACTGGAGAGAATTTGAGAAGTATTAAAACTGCCGTTTTAACTGAAAACTATAGTAAAACCCATTTTAATCATCTAATTTAAAGCAGTTTAAATGTTCTTCATATATGTATAAATATATATAAATTTATAAATATATATATAAATATATAAAATTTTTAAGTGTAGCACCTACCATTCTGTTCTAATTTTTCATGACTTTCTTTTACCATTCCAAATTGACATGTGATTGTAGCATAATATTTCTCTATTTCATTCAGTTGCTTATGATGATCTTCTTTAGCCAAAAGGTGTAACTGGAGCTTCTGTTCCTATTTTGAATAATAATGTTAAACTCTAAATACAATATGTTAACACACAGTTTCAGTATATAACATTAGGACGATGAATTATTTCATAACAATTATGACAAATAATTCCAGAGTACACACATTATTGATTTCTCAAAGTTATATATGGAAATGTTTAGGTTTTATGATATTTCTAAATCCAGAGAAGCTTAGTTTTTATAGTAATTTTATTATTCTCACAAGAAAGACACATTGGGCGCTATATCTCTCTGGTATCCAATTTTTTCTTCAAGATCAATAGGCAAATGAAGAACAGAAATAAAGCAATTTTCTGGTTAATCATCTAAATGTCTTCAATTCTCCTAGTATAAAAAATTAGGCTCGTGTTATAAAACAATCAAATCCCTGAACAATTTCAATAAATACTGTAAAATAATAAACATTTATCAAGTACCTACTCTGTGCCAGGCACTATGTTATATCCTAGGATATAAAGAAGAAAAAGAAAGACAGTTGCAGTCCTCAGGAAGTATATAATCTAATGCAGGAAGACAATCCAAGAGATGTTGCCAGAGGGTACCCAATGAAGAGGCATGATGTTTGAGAAGTTACACCCAAGTAGAGTAGCTGGTGGGAAATAACATCATCGGTCCACTGCTACACCTTAGACCCAGTTTTTTATTATGTCTCACCTAGATTCCTGTAATCCTCTATTCTTCCCCCCCCTCCAGGATTTCCTCATTTGGGTCTAAACCATCTCTATATATCACTATCAGATGGACCTTCTTAAAGCAGTTTTGATTATGTTATTCCCCTATTCAAAATGGTTATTCACTGCCAGCCTGGCATTCAGGGTCCTGCATGCTCTGACTCCAGTTTACATGTCCTTTCCTTGTTTCTCCTTATTTCTCATTATACCCCTATGTTTCATGCAAACTGGACTTGTCACCATCTCCTGAACATGTCTTCCACTTTACCTCTCACTGCCTTTGTTCATGGTCTTCTTACCACATGCAAAACCCTCCCTCTGTCAAAATCCTACCATTCATCAGGGTCTAGTTTAAAAGCCTTTCTTTTAGGAAGCCTTCTTGGATCCTGTCAACTACCCAACTTCTCCTTCCTCTAAACCCCTATAATACTTTGGACCCCTTTTATAACACTCGCCATATTATACTTTGTGTTTATACTTAGCTTACTTACTTATTTGTTTTATATCTCTCTACTAGCCTGTAAGTTGAGAGCAGACAGATCATGTCTTGTTCATGTCGTATTCCCCACATCACATCATAAATACTGTACACAGTAAATATTTATTGAATTGAAAGGCATCATGGTATAACAGAAAGCAGCTAAATTTGGATGCAGGAGACCTGGGTTCAAATCCTGGCTCCAAAACTTGATAGTGATTGAGTGACTTAACCTATGCGAGCATCTGAAAATGGAGGTAACAATATCTATGTTAAGTATAATTATGTAGTACCTCTACACAGTTATTGTGAGGAAAGCACATTATAAACTTGAAGGCTTTACATAAATGCAAGTTGTTATATTAATCTGGTTGTCAGGAAGAATATGTAAAGAAATCTCCGTGATGGAGGACATCCTCTAGTATTGCCTTTGAGAACCCAGAGTTAACTCTACAAGAATGACTTATCAGAGTAGGACTTTACAAAAAGATTTATAAACATATATTTACATACAAATCCTCAGGAGTATATCTGCTAGTTAAAATAAAATATAACCTGTATACCTTCTCACCTGATTCAAGGATATTCAGAGGTCAAAAAAATTTCCCTTAAGAGAATTCTATTGTCACCAAATTTTGGAGGCCAAGACAAAAATTCAGAAATAAAACCTGAAGTTTCATTTCCTCTTTTGCAAGTTGTTGTACAAATTTCTTTGGTTATCCTCACTGTCATGGCTTTTTTTAAAAATCAATGTTTTGTCCATTTTTAAAGAGACTTTAACCTTTGGAGTCATAATTATCAAGCAAATTCTAAACTGTAATGACAACCTAAAGTTACATAAAGGCATAACATTATATAAACATGTTGGTAGTATTATTTATAAAAACAAAGAAACTATTTGTATACATTCTTAATTTAACAAACACTATGTAAAAGTATGTGGTTATTTCACTATTTTACTGAATGCTTCAATATTAAAATTTAATTAAATTACTTTTAAGGAAAATTATTGTTTCCTCTCAATCCAGACATCATTCATTTTCTTCAGAGATAAACTGACACGTAATCACAGAAAATGAGGAAGGAACTCTTCCATTCTATGACAAGAGCTATAAAGGATAGTCTTAGAGAGATGCATGGAGAGGCAGAGAAGTTAAGTGTAGCATGGTCAAATAGCCCGTATTTGTCAGAGACAGAACTTGAACCCAGGTCTTCCTGTCTCCAAGGTTGGCAGGGCTCCAAAATTTGCTGATCCATAATTTTCATGTGATTATGCCTTGTGGGGCCACACAAAATAAGTCTAATCCATCTTCTAAACGCCAGCCCTTCAAATATGCCCACTGTACCTAAGTATTATCTTATATTGGTTGAACATTCCTAGTTCCTTAGAATGATCCTGGAATGACGTGATTTCAGGTCCTATAATTGTGGTTTAATAAGTTTCCATTCCCCTTATTAAACCATATTAAGAACCTAATGATAAACTATAGTCCCCAAAGTAATCACTGATCAAAATTTAAGACTTTTGGTAACTTTAATTAGCCAATCATTTTGATTATAAATAATGGTTCTTTTGTCACACTAGGGTTGTTACCATTGGTTATTTTTTTTAATAGTGATTGTAATGATTTTTTTTCATGAGGAAAAGGAATTATTCTTATGGTGGGAGAGCGGTTTAGGTTAATGGTTGTTTATTATCATGGCAGTTTCAATATTCTCTTTTAGGTTATTTGGTTATTCACCACTTGGTTGAATAGTACTCCCAGAAGACTCAGAAATTCACTAGAAGTTAAATGTTTACCAATGGGGATAAATGCAGGGAGAAAAGCTCCAGGGGATTATTTTCAAAATTCCTTCTTTCAGAGCACCAAATTATATGCTTTATATACTAATGTCCTGAAAATTTGATTTACTGGTCATGGGTAAGCATCTTATTTCCAGTTAATGTCTTGGTGATCTGGGCTTGCCATAGCATCAAACAATAAGAGTGAATTCTGTAGAGCATTTTGGGATTGCCATAACAAACAGATAAAGGAGGGCTCAAGTCCTGCCTCTCACACAGACTGACTGTGTGACACTGGGCAAGTCACTTGACCTCTTACTGCCCCAGGCAACTCCCTAAGACCATAAATTGTAGCACAGATGCTAATATTTATTGGTAGAGTGAGCTCCAGACATAGGAAATCATAGAATCACTAAAAAAAAAAAAAGATTAAAAAAAATCATTTAAGTTACAGAAGATGAGAACAATTTAAAAGTGATTCCCAACTTTTTAAACAATTATCTAAGAAATTTAAATGTTCTCAGTGGCTATAAGATATGTATTTAACATTTGCTCTTAGCATTTTATATTTTCCTTTACTATCCAGATAAAAACTATGATGCAATTATGCCATAACTATTATTCAAATAAGTTCCTTCTATGAGTGTGTAATTCATAACAAAAGGCAACCTAGAAGTGACACAAACCTATGGAGATTTTTTTAATGTTTCAACATCCTTTAAATTATACATACTTCTTTAATAAAATTTAAAAGTGAAATAAGACAAAACACATTTTATGTTGCCTTTGATCTTTAACTTGTAGCCTTATCTCCTAGGTCAAAGGACATATTATTCAATTTCACCATATTTTGTGTAAAACCACTGTAGCGTTGAGGATGACTTTCAGTACAAATGTCATGGTACTTAAAGCTAAACCGGACTCTAGTTTTTCGGCTTCTTAATTAAAATCACAGTTTATAATAGTCTGACAATATTATCTTTATTCTTTCCAGTTGAACAGCAGCAGAATTTTCACAGCTTTTATTCAATCAAGCTTAGCAATCTTTATACAGCTCTTTTATTTCCTAATACAGCAAAAATAGGTTTCCAAGAGGCACAACAGTTACTTTGTACAGCTTTGTATTTAATGTCATAAGAAATCATCCTCTCATGTTTCCAGTCCTTCCCTAATACCAAACCTAGATTTAACTCAAAAACAAATTTTGCTATCCTTCCATTCTCTAATCAGACTAGGATAAGATAAGCCTCTGCAAAAAAGCTCTGTGCAGATGGAAATGGAAAGGGAGTACTGTAATAGAGGGAAAAAATATCATTTTCAGAAGGCACACTACTATAGGTAATTATAAGAGAAGAATGAACAAGAATATTCCACCAAGTCTTATTTTTTCATGCTAAAATATTAATTTTTAAATACACAAGATAATGCTGGGCACACAGTAAGCCCTCACTTGATAAATAATGAAAGTTTTTTCCTTAATTTTGGTTTTCAGATGCAGCTTCACATTGAGGTACAGTAAAGCTAAAATATTATCAAACTAAAGCACTATTTCAAAATGAAGGTTCTTTTAAAAATCAAGGGCTGTAACATTTTTTAAAGTCTCCATTTGCATATATACTCAATAATAACATTAAATGAAGTAATTTTTAAAATGTTACCACTTCTATCAATAATTTGGTAGCTATTAAAAAATCTATTTTTAACAAGGTAAATGTTAAGTAATCTCAAAATAAATTTAGAAAATAATTATGAGAATAATATTTTAAATGAGTTCAACCTGAAAAATGACATTAATTTATAAGTATCAACTACTTTATTACTATTAAACTCTAAATTTTACGTTAATAGAAAGGAATTTTAAGCTGTCCTTTATTGCCACATTAGAAATAATGAACAAGGTTATAACTATCTTACCATTTCATTTACTTTCTTCTGTAAAGAATATTTTGAAACCTTGAAAAATAAGAAAAACATTTTTACATTAGCTACTTTTACAAATTCCTCCTAATGGTAAAATTGCATTTTGTAAACTGTGGCACTCATTTTCTGTATGACATGTATTTTTTAGTTAGCAAATTTTCAAATAAAAATGTGACTGATATTTCTTTGCACTTCTGGAAAGGCACATTTCTCTGCACAAGACCACAAGCTAGCTTGCTGATAATCTATTTCAATTTGTGAGAATGAGGAACGTGTGGTCAGGGAGTGTTTAAATGGAATAGAAAAAATAATAAGTTATAGGGGCAGAGGTAATTGAGAGAAAAGAGAAAAGGAAAGAAGGGCAGCTCAAACTGGAAAAGCTACCACTCTGATCCCTAATTCACTACTGCAAGATCTGAATCCAGGGTAAATCCACCAAGTGAATTCTCATTCTTATTCTTTGGACACCACCATTTTCTCTTTGATGCACATTTTGCCTAACAGTTCATAATCAAGTTTCATCAAAATCTGCTTCCCAAACCAGCACAACCTTTCCAGAGCACCTTCCAAATTTTAAGTTTAACTTGATGCCATCTTCCCAACTGACAATAATTAATGCCAAATCCTATACCACACTAAAAAGCAGCAAAGAAGAAATAAAACTCTAAAACATATAAATGGAAAGCTAAGTCTAAATGTTATTTTTATCCACATCTTTATGTCTGATTATAGGCACAATTGGGTATTACATTCAAGTTTGGTTTTTAAAAAGAATATTTATTTCATAACATGCATAGAAATATTTCTGCAGACATACACTATTGACATTTTGAAAGGCAGTATGGCTTAAGTGGACTGAATGCTGACCTTGAAGTTGGGAAGGGCTAAGTTCATGTCCTATTTCTGGCAGTTACTTACCAGCTGTGTGCCTGGGAGCCCTTAACATCAGGCAACTCTCTAAGACTTTTCTACCAAGTTATAGATGGGCTATAATTTCCTACAATTATGAAATCATAGATTTTTGAAGTATTAGGTGTAGGAATGTTTCTTTAAACTATAGTTTTTGCAATTTTGTGATAAGCATCTCGCCATCATAGGAAAAAAACTCAGCAGGTGCCAATTTTTACATTATTTGTAAAATTCAGTCTCAAATACTGATTTTCTTTTGTTTCTCTTTTATAGGTATCACTCATTTTATGGAAAAGATGTGATCACAGAATTACAGGATCCCAGAGTTAGAAAAGACCTCAGATGCCCTCTGTAACCTGTAACTGAACAGAAAACCATTCTGCAACATGTCTGACTAGTATTCAGAGAGCACCTGAGACTTTCCAGTTTGAGGAACCCACTACTTTCTAGTAACCACTGTACTATTGCTCTAATTCTCAGAAGCTTTCTCCTTAGATCTAATCTGTATCTTCCCCTATGAAACTTTCCATACATCACTCTTCATTCTGCCTTGTGTCTTAATGTCAGCACTTCAAACACTTGAAGACCAATAGCCCATTTCCAATAAGTCTTCCTTTCTCCAGGCTACACACTTCCAGTTCCTCCCACTGCTCTTTGGATCCCATGGTCTCTTGTCCTCTCATCATACTAGTCACCATTCTTTGATGGCACCCTAGTTGGTTGATGCCTTACTAAAATGTGGCACCTCGAACTAAACATGGTCCCTCAGAAGGGGTCTGGTGAGGGTTGTACAATAAATAGTACTAGCATCTCTTTTCTTCAGGAGGCATTCTAAGTTCTCATCAACATTTCTGGCTTCTATGATATACCATGGACTTGAAATAAACTGCAAGTCCACTAAAACCTTCAACATCTTTTTTACAGGAGTTGTCATCCAACCAGGCCTCCTTCATTTTATACTTCTTAAGTCCAAGTTTAAAGTGCAGGATGTTACATTTAGCCTCCCTAATAAAAGAAATTTCTGTAAGATGAAGGCTATTTTCCCATTAATTGCTAGGAAATACTTAGAGAGCTATCCTCATGGGAAAAAAATTCCTCAACATTCAAAAACCTTCAGTAAGGAAAAAATTTGGATAGTGTCATTATGAAAGCTGTAGTGCCAAGTTTTTCCAATTTTGGAATCTCTTCTTTTTTCAAGAACTATCCTCATTCCCCTATTTCTCTATGAAGAGCAGAATGTTTCACATTTGAAAATCCCCTAGAAACTTCATGTTGATATGGCTGGAACTTAGTTCCCCTTTTCTCTTTTTGATTAAATAGAAGGCATTAGGTTTCAACAGGAGGTAATACTCTAATAAATGATGTACTCTTTGTCTCTTCTCTCAATTCTCAACCCTTTTCATTCTGGCTTTCAACCTCCATTCTTAACTGAAACTGCTCTCACCAAAAGTGGGGAGGAGGTTGGGGAGAAAGGGAATAAGCATTTATGCAGTCACATACTATGTGTCAAGCTCTGTGCTAAGTGCTTTACACAATGACCCTGTGGGGTAGGTAGTTATTATCCTCATTTTACAGTTGAGGAAACTGAGACAAACAGTGACTGACCCAGGATCACCCAGCTAGCAAGTGTCTGAGGCTTGATTTGTACTCAGGTCTTCCTGACTCCAGGCCTGGAACTCTATCAATCGCGTCACCTAGCTCACCAAAGTTACCACTTATCTCTTAATTACCAACTATGATGGTCTTTTCTCCATCCTCATCCTTCCTGACCACTCTGTGGTGTCTAACGGTCTCTCTTCTCCGGATTTTTTTGACATTGCTCTCTTGATTCTCCCCCGTCTGACCATTTCTCCTCTGTCTCCTTTGCTTGTTCATCATTCGTATCATGCCTTCTTCTGTGGGTCTATTTCAAAGCTCTGCCCTGGACCCTTTCCTCCCTACACTCACACTTGGTGACCTTATCAAGTCACATGGGTTTTAGTTATCTCTGTGCAGATGACTCCCAGATCTCTATGTCAGCCCCAGTTTTTCTCTTGAGCTCTTATTCCACACCACTAAATAGCTATTGGATATTTCAAACTGGAAGTAGGCTTCTCAAATTCAACATGATCAAAGGAAAACTTACTATATTTCCCCTTAACCCACTCCTCTTCCAAATTTCCCTACTGATACCTAGGGTATCAATATCCTTTCAGTTGCCTAGGTCTGAAACTCCATTATCCTCAGCTTCTCATTCTCCCTTCACTCCACAGATCAAATGGGTTGCCAAATAAGATCAATTCTGATTCTACAATCTTTGTCACATCTGTCCTCTTCTCTCTACTCATACAGCTACCACCCTTGTTCAGGATCTCATTACTTCTCTCCTATACTATTGAAATGGTGTCCTGAGCAAACTCCCTGTTTTGAGTCTCTCCCCCTCCAATCCATCCTCCACACTTCGGCTAAGGTGATTTTCCAAAAAGATAGGTCTGACCATGTGACACCCCTACCCAATAAACTCCAAAGGCTCCCTTTTACCTTTAGGGCCAAATGAAAATTCTACTGTTTACTTACATTCGAAGCCCCCTATAACCTGACTCCAACTCCCTCTCCAACCTTCCTATTCATTACTCACCTTCCTCCACTTGTTGGTCCAGCCAGAATGTCCTTGCTGCTCCATGTCCAATCTCCATTCTTTTACACTGGCTGTGCCCTTTGCACGGAATATACTCACTCCTCACTGCCACGTCACAGAATCCACTGTTTCCTTTCAAATTCAGTGTTAATGCCACCTTCTGCTTGAATCCTTTCTTGATTCCCTTAGCTACTAATGCTCTTCCCATAACATTTATATGTGGTCATATCGTTTCTCTCAAATGAATGTCAGCTTATTGAGGACAGAGACAACGTCATTTTTGTTTGCATATCCCCAGCACCTGGCACATACTACATTATAGAAGTAAAAAAATTCTATAATCTGCGTTTTGGGACAGAAGCCTTCCAGAGATGATTTATTAATTAAATTACTCTCATTATAAAGGCATGGTGAAACTCTCCCTCTCTAAGTAGAAATGTTAAAATTAAAATAGTTTAATTAATAAATTATCTCTGGCAGGCTTTTACCAAAAATGTAGGGTACAATATTTTTTTCTTCAATAATACTAAAGGTACTTAATAAACGTTGATTGATTTATTGATTGATTTCAGGTCCCCTACTGTTATCAATTCAGTTAGCTTGAAATCTGCTAATATTAAAATAAGAGCTTTCATTTCAAGTGTTATATATAACACTTTTAAGGTTTTCAAAGCACTTTACTTATGTTATCTCATTTGATCCTTACAGCAACCCTGAAATACTATTGTTATCTCCATTTTACAGGTGAGGAAAATGAGGCAGAGAGGAAATGAGTCCCACAGCTAATAAATGTTTACGACACAGCACTCTATCCATTTCACTCCCTAGCCGCCTTCTAGAACCATGGAACTTTAAAATTAGAGGGGACCTTTAGCTATCATGTATTCCAACTCACTCATACGAGTGACTTGCCCAAGTATCTGTGACAATAAGTCACTGACAGAGCCAGGACTGGTTTACCTAAATCCCCTAGTACAATCAGCAATTTGGTTACCCCTCTAATGCAGCTGTATTAAGCAAACTTCTCAATGTCATTAAGACTTGTTATAAAGTTATTTGAATGGAAGTTGTCAACATTCCACCACACCCAATGTAACACCACCTCCTATAGTCTAGTAAGTGTTTGTCAAGTACTTAAGAACACTGTTTAGATGCTCTTGGAGAGAACTCCATTAAGCTATGAATAATTTCTTCAATGTTTTGGTTGTGGGTTGTTGGTTTGGGGCTTTTATGGGGGTGGGGAGGTTAGGGAAAGGGGATTAGAAGGATCCTGTGACAAGAGGAGAGAAAAGAGGAGGAGGAAAAAAAACATAATGCAGAAGAATCTAAGTGATGCGCATATAAGGGGTTTGGGTTTTGTCTAGTAATTTCTTTTGCTCTAACAATATAAATCAGATCCTTAACAGATCCTTTCTTTAACTTTTTCTTACTTGGGAAAAATTCGAACTTTTATTGCTCTATGGTATCCATGGATCATGTTCAGCAGACCATGAGGTACACTATACATCACCTGTACTATGTCATGGGTTGAACAAGGCAAAACAAATCCTTACAGCTCTTGCACAGAAGGTCAGCCATCTGAAGGAATTTCTTTAGCTTTTAAAATACTCTCTACATTAACCAGACAATTAAACATAGAGAGAATGACAGCAAAAGAAACCAATTTATTTTAAAAGGAATGTTAATAGAATAGAGTGTAAATAGCAATATTAACAAATAGACTTCCTTTATCAACCAGTGCTATAGTTAAGAGAGGAAACTCAATACTTAAGAAAAAGATTTAATAAGAAGCAAGGAGTTTAATTTTTCTTAAGGCATGAAACCTTATTGGACACTGCAAAACAATAATATTTAATAAAAATTAGAGTAAATCTTTGAAAACATCTATAATAATAATTACTATTTTTCTAATTACAGATATATCTTTATATCTATATCTATCATATATATGTATATATATGAAAACATCTTCAAATTACTAGAAAATAACATTTCCATCTACTATAGTCAATTATGGTTTTTCTCATTCTTGCTTCTGGTATACATAACTTACTATAATTCAGCTAAAATAGTTTAAAATAGTCAAAGTACATTTTGGGGGTCCAGCAAGAAGAGAACTATAAAGGAACTTGGAGATAATTTTGTCTAATACCTTTATGTTACATATAAAGAAACTAAGACTCAGAGAACCTAAGTGACTAGACCAAAAAGTTAGCAGTTAGTTAGGAGAGCCCATTCTCAGGTATGCAGATTTTATTTTCTAAACTCACTCTTTTAACCAAAAAATTCAACTACTAAATGTAATTAAATTACCACAATTCATATTGCACATAAAATACACCCTAAGTAATTATTTTAAAGACTCATGAAGTCATAGTTTAAACAAACTATGTTTTTCACTCTTATTCTATTTCCATGACCACTGAAAAGCACATCTTTTCTAAGTCCCAAAATGTTAGGGCTCAAGACAATTCTGAAGGACTTAGGCTGAAAGGGGCCGTCCATCTCCAGAGAAAGAACTGGTGAAGCCTGAATGCAGATCAAAAGCACCTTTTCTTTACTTTTCTTTATTTTCTTGGGGTTTTTTTTTTTTTGGTTTGTGTTTTATTTCACCACAGTATGACTTACATGGAAATGCGTTTTGCATAACTACACATTTATAACCAATGTCAAATTGCTTGGCTTTTCAAGGAGGGGGAGAATTTGGAACTCAAAATTTGAAAAAAAAAAAAAAAAGAATGTTAAAATTGGGGGAAAATAAGATATTAAATATATAAAATATATATGTGTATATATATGGGCATGTGTGTGTATATATATATATATATGTATATAAATGTTAGGGCTCTTCTTTTTTATTTCAGTTTCAGAAGTCATCAAAGGCAAAGGATCAGAATCAAGACATGGTGGAATGATGGAAGGAACAGTAGGCTGGGACTCAGAAAACCTGGATTCAAGTTCCACCTCCACCACTGACTTTTTGTGTGACCAACCTTGGGCAAGTCATTGAACCTCAGTATCTTCCTGTATAAAATGGGGAAAATCACATCTGTCTTATTTAGCTCATGAAGCTGTTGGGAAGTTCAAATGAGATATCTGTAAAAGAACTATACAAATTCAGGATATCATTATTTTTCTTTTTGTTCAACAGATCTGGTTAGCTGAACAAAACTTAGACATATGGCTTCTATCTCAAAGACCACAGAATTCCAATTTATTGGTAATGCTATTTAACATTTGAGTCACTCAAATAGGGTTAAATCCCTTACCTAAATACATCCCCTGGAATTCTACTCTTTACCTATCACTTCAGTTTCTGCACCACTACCAGATTCATCTCCCGAAAATGCTCCTTTGCCTTTATCACCATTTGGCTCTAAAGCCTTTAGTGGCTCCCCACTGCACCTACAGAGTAATGCTCATGCTCCGTGATACTCTGGAAAGACTCATAAGAACTGGCCTTCAGTCCCTGCCCTGTTTCCTGCTGGCTGGGTGACCTGAGTCAAGTCATATCATTTCCCTGGCATTCAGCAAATCTCCTCTACAAAGTGGCTGATGATGATGATCTCAAATCCTTCCATGTCTAGCTTCCTATGAACTTTCTTTTTCTAAGATAAATTTGTATTAATGGTTTTTGTTTTCTACATGATCATAGTTTTCCCCAGTGTCCTTCTTTCTCCCCCCTTCCAAAGAACCATTCTAAATAATAATAGTATGTTTTTAAAGGCAAAATAAAGAAGAAAATAAAGAGAAAAAATCAACAAAACTGATAAGTCATTGAAAAAGTCTGAAAACATGTGCAATCTGCAACACCGATAGCACTCCCATCTCCATAAAGGGAGTATTATGGGTGTCATCCCTTCTCTCTTCATTTAAATCATGCCTGATCTTTATAATTTTCCTGCATTCATCTTTGGTTTTGAAAGCTGCCTCTGCTAAAAAATCTTTGTCATGTTCCCCTCAAACCTCTTTCAAATATTTTTAACATACCCAATACAATAAAACATAGCAACCAGTTATAGCATACTTCTACCATGGTGATTTCTCCACACATTAATACAATGGTAAAATAAGGTATAACTGAAGATGAAGAAAGTAAGATTGCCATTTTGACCAATATCTGTGAAAGCCTTTAATCCTTTAGAAATGATAGAACATTTCATTTGGAATCATGATTATGATAGTAATTAATTTGTAGAGTATTCACAAAGTTTTCTCCTCCTCTTCCTCTTTCTTCTTTCTCATCCTCTTTTGCCTCCTCCTCCTTCCCCTATCTCATCCAGCAGACACTCACAGAACCCATGATAACTGTGGAAGATTTGACCTGCTCCACTTCTGCCCTGGATTGGTTCACCCCTCCTTCGGAACCCTTTGTTCCCAGAGATTCACCATATTGGTGATGGACTTAGTGTAGACCCCCAATCAGATTAGTCCACTACAGCTCAGAACTCCCAAGCTCAAGTGATTCACCAGCCTCAGCCTTCCTGTAGCAGGGATTACGGGCTTGTACTACATACATCAAAGCTAAGTCTCTTCAGGAAGAGTTAACAGAAAGCAGATAGTAATAAATCTCTCTCTCTCTCTTCTTTGTTTTTTTTTTTAACAGAATACATACATTGAGGCAAAGAACAAAGTAAAACACTCAAACGAATCTAGTTTTCTTAAACTCTCTTCCACTCTAAGAATTCCATGATCTAACTGCACTGGCCTACTTCCTGTGTGTGCCCCATACCTGATACTCCATGTCTTTATATTGACTCTCTCCTATGCCTGGAATGCCCTCCCTCCTCTTCTTTTCCCTTGTTTCCTTCAAAACTCACCTCTAATCTCACTGTCTTCAAGAGGCCTTCCCTCATCCCACTCCATACCTTCAACTGCTATTACCTTCCACTCTGTGATTATCTTCTATGATTTACATGTTTTCTCCCCCATTAGGATGTAAGCTTCTTGAAGTTTTGCTGTATACAATATTGAGGAAATGTTTAAGAAATATAAAGGTACTTCAGACTTCTGGGTCTTGTGACCAACAAGATGGAGGACTAAACACTTTTTTCTGATTCTCAAAACCTCTCAAACCTCTACAAAATAGGAATTATGTGCAAGAAATAAAACAATTTCAGTTGTCTTCATAGTCTAAGACACCAAGAACCCTAATGAGGTAACAACCTAATGAACTAACAGCTGAAATGACTAATCCTTAAAGGGCTCATTCAGCATACCCTCCCCTACCTGCCATCATGCTTTGGCAAGTCTTACAAAAGAACTCAACTCTGTACAGCATCCCCATGCACCAAGGAAAGTAGAAAGCCCACTCTGCCAGAGAGGGCAGCATGGCAGTACATTATGCCATGAAAGTGGTCAGCTTGGAACAAAAGCAGGATGACAGTGTGTGGGGGTGGGGGGTGGGAAGGGATGGTCCAACAGGCCTGAATGATGGCATACATCTGAGGCTACTTCTGTCCCCCAAGAAGTCACTTGGGGCAGAGACTGAGGTCAGTGAAAAGTGAATTCCCCAGTGTGAGAAGAGGCTGGCACAGATTTAAGATCAAGCACTTCCTCCCCTCTCTATTCCCCACTTCTCTGCCACAGCAGGAATGCCATTGAAAGGGAAGGAATCAGAAAGTGAACAATAAGGAAATCGAAGGAAAAAAGACTGAAATTAACAGTTACTTCACCTGTAATCCTTTCAATGTTTCCTTCAGTCCTTCTATTTCTTTTTCTTTTATTTCTGAAGCAAGTTGATATTGTCCCTTTAAATCAAAAGTTGATGTTCAAGTATAAACATCATTACAAAAAGGTAAAAATCTAAGACTTTAAGATCAAAGGCCTACTTCAAAATATTCTATTTAACAAAATAAACATTTATTTTTTCTTCTAATTTCTTTTCATTTTAAAATATTTTAACATTTTGGGGGGCTTTTTTTGCTATGAAAAATGAAAGCATTTGTATAGCTACGAATCATTTCATCAGTGAAATATGCCTACCTAAGAATCAATATGATAATTATACAAAGAGGCATAATAGGAAGTGGTTATAGATATATGAGTGCCCTACACTCAAATGGAACTGTGACCTCATTGATATGGCTATTTTCCTCCAACAAAGCAAACTACAATACATTTATGCTGGCCCATACTATACAACTCTTTGTGTCCTCCCATAAATTCACCACAGAGGGTGCTCTGAGGTCCATATGAGGTGTCTTTCTTGCCTTTTCTTTATATTCTGAAGACACCAGTGGAGCATGCATTGGTTATCTTTCATTCTTGCCATGGGACAAACTCATGATGCACCTCTCTGTGGTCCTCTGGTTGAGAGTTATTTTTAATTCTTCTTAGCCTGTAGTGTTCCATGACAGAGAGTCATAATCTTTCTGGCTTTTGTGTGAGAAAGTTGTGGGTGAAAGAGCAAGAGGAAAGACAGGAATTGAGCTGAATAAGAGGAAATTTGGACTAGTTAAGGCCAGAGATTGAATTGGAGAGAAGAATTTTGGGAAAAATTGATGAAAATTTGAAGGTAAAACATCTCCCGGTCCATGTATCAATCTACATTTTACTTCTGTCTTCTGGGACAGAAGGCTGCAGTAGATGGAGAAAGGATAAGATCAAGCAGGATTAAAGAGTAAAGACCTAAAGAGAAAGATGGCGGAGAGGGAGAGAAGAGAAGATAATTGGAAAGACAGGGCAAGATAAATAAGAAAATTCAAACACAATGCAAATTAATAAATCGATTGGTATATGGGGCTGAAAAGAGGCAGAAGGTTGGTACAAGATAGAAAGGTCATTCATGGGGCAGCTAGGTGGTGCAGTGGATGGAGCTCTGGCCTTGAAGTCAGGAGGACCTGAGCCTCAGACACTTGACAGTTACTAGTTGTGTGACCCTGGGCAAGTCACTTAGCCCCAACTGCCTCACCAAAAAGAAAAAAAAAAGGTCATTCATTAATTCCAATGAATGCATTTTTAAAAATATCTTCTACTCCAAAACCTGTACCCTGGGATAGCAGCTCTTAGTAGGAACAGCACACTGGGAAGTCAAACTTTGAAGAGAATATTCATAGATTAGATTTTAGCAAAACATTTGATAAAATGTCTCTTGTATAGAAGATACATTCCTGTGGAGAAGACAGAAAAATGCAGACCAGCTGATGGTACAATAGATGGATTCAGAACTGGTTACATGGTGGAACTCAAAGAGTATTCATTAATGGTTTAATGTCAACTTGGCAAGAGGTCTCCAGTGGAGCACCCCAATGATCTGTGCTTGGCTCTTTAGTCTTTAACATTTTTATCAATTACTTGGATAGAGGCACAAATGGCAGATGACGCCAATAGCTACCACTTTACATGATAGTTAGGATTGAACAAGATCTTCACAGAGTATTAGGTTGAATCTAATAATATAAAATTGAATACGGATAAATTAGAGGCTTACACTTGAACTCAAAAAAAATCAACTTTGCAAACATAAGATAGAAGAAACATGATTAAAAAGCAGTTTCTCTGAAAAAAATCTAGGGCTTTTAGCAGACTGCAAACTCTATATGAGCAAGCACTGTGACGATAGTCAAGTAAGCCCATGAGATCTTGGACTTTGCTAATGGGGACATAGTTTTGTGGTAGTTCCTCTATGCTATCTGAGAAGGGAGTGGCCCTTTTTTGCAAAAGCTAAACCATCACTTCACGACTTCTCTAGCAGATTGCAGCCTCAACCATTCCCCTCTTCTCAAATCTTCAGTCTCTCCCTATCAACTGGTTCCTTCCCTACTGTCTTCAAACATCCTCAAACATGCTCAAGTCACCTCTCCCCTCCAAAAAAAAAACCTCCTCTAGCTTCTGTAATCTCCTAAAACTATCATCCTGTATCACTTTTCCCTTTCATAGCCGTAGAAAAGGTTGTCTACACTAACTTCCCGTATTTCCTCTCTTCTCACTCACTTCTCAACATTTTACAATGTGGCTTTTGATATAATAACTCAATGGGAAGTGTTCTCTCCAAAGTTACCAATGATTTCTTAATTGCCAAATCTAATGGTCTTTTCTCAGTCCTAAAGCTTCTCATCCTATGTGACCACCCTCACCTCCTGATTACTCATCCCTCTGAGTTTTCATGACACTATTCTTTGTCTACCTGTCTAACCACTCCTCAGTCTCCTCAGCTGGCTCATCATCCACTTCTTGCAAACTTTCTGTGGATATTCCACAAAGTTCTTTCCTAGGTCATCTTGGTAACTTCATAAGCTCTCTCTGTAGATGACTCCCATATCTATATATACAGCCCTTGTCTCTTACTTACCCCAAGTTTCTATGGGACATTTAAACTTGACATCCCTGAGACATCTTGAACTCAAAAAGTTTAAAACTGAACTCACAATCTAAGCCCTCCCTTCATTCAAATCTCCCTACTTCTGTCAAAATGATTTTGTCATCTTTCCAGTGTCTCAAAATTATCCTGAACTCTTCACTCTTCCTCACCCCATATGTCCAATCAGTTGCCAAATCTTGCTGTTTCTACCTTCACAACATCTCTCACATCCACCCCTTTCTCTTTACTCACATAACTACTACTTTAGGTCAAACCTTCATTATCTCTCACCTAGAGCATTGCAATAGCCTCTGCCTCAAGTCTTGCTATACTCCAACCTATCCTACACACCGCTGCCAAAGTCATTATCCTTAAATGCAGATCTGCCCATGAGGCTCCTCTACTCAACCAACTACAATAGCTTCCTATTGCCTCGAGAATAAAATATAAACTCCTTTATTTAGCTTTCAAATCTCTATACAATGTGGGCCCAACCTTTCTTTTCAGCCACAATGGACATTACTTCCTTTCCCACATGCTGCAAACCAGACACACTAGCCTTTTCTCTATGCTTCACTCAAGACACTCCATCTCCTTGCCTAATGGATTTGCACCAGCCATCCCAACCAGTGCATCTCAGATGCCTGGAATTTATTCCATTTTTACCTCTGCCTCATACATAGAGTATTTCTCTTCCTTTAAGATGCAGCTCAGACATCTTTGACATGAAGTCTTTCCTGATCCCTCCGCTACTGCTTTGGCCTCATTCCCAAACTTTGTTGTATTTAACTACATTGTATGTATTTATATTTATTCTGTGATGTTACTTGGTGTTCACCATGTCCAATGCCTATCAATCCTTTTTTCAAAGTAAGTACTTTGAATATATAGATATGAAGTTTTTATGTAGTCTACAAATCTTTGGCCTCTCTCTTTTCTTATTCCTGGATCCATATTTCCTAACTTTTTTTACTGACCTTGCCTATTACCACTATTTCATTAATGTTATTAAGTATCAAAGTATGTTAGTTTAATTTGGAGGATTTTATCAAACTCTTAATAGAATTTCTTTATATTCTTATCCTTTGCAATAGATGTTAGTGCTTAAGCTACAATTTCTTTTTGATAAATCAATCAATAAGCATTTATTAAATGCCCACTTTGTACCAGACACTATGCTAGGCATTGGGGATGCAAAAACAAATATGAAACACTCCCTGCCTTTAAGAAGTTACAGTCTAGTCAGGGGAGACAACATCTACATACATATGCATGTTGTTGTTCAGACGTTTCAGTCACACCTAATGCTTCGTGACCCTATTTGGGGTTTTCTTGGCAGATACTGGAGTGGTTTGCCATTTCCTTTTCTAGTTCATTTTATAGATGAGAAAACTGAGGCAAACAAGAGTTAAGTGACTTGCCCAGGGTCACATAGTTCATAAGTGTCTAAGGCTGGATTTGAACTAAAGAAAATGAGTCTTCCCAACTTCAGGCCTGGCACTCCATCAACTGTACCACCTCGTTGCTCTGATATGTATGTACACATTATGTATCTAAAAACAGATATAAGGTCATTTTAGGGGGAAGGCACTAACAGCTAGGGAATTAAGAAAGGCTAGTAGAAGGTAGTGATTGATCCATACCTTAAAGGAAACTAGGTACTGTAAGAAATGGGAACGGCCAATGCAAAGGCATGGAGGTGGGAGAGGGATTGCTGCATATGAGAGACAGCAATAAGGCCAGTTTGGCTGGACTGCAGTGTGTATCAAGGAGTGCAATGTGCAATAAGGGCAGTAAGATAGATTGAAGTCTGGTTGTGAAGGGCTTTAAAAGCCAAACAGAGGTGTTTATGCTTGATCCTGAAGATAACAGAGAGACACCTAACTTACTGAAAAGGAGTGAGGTGGTCAGATAAACACTTTAGGAAAACCAGTTTGACAAAGGTAGGAAGGATAATTTGGAGAAGAAAAAGACTTGAGGCAGTGTGACTAATTAGGAGTCTATTACAACAGTTCAGGTGAGAAGCGATAAGGGCCTTAACTAAAGCACTGACTATGTGAGTGAAGAGAAGAGGTGAGATGGAAGAAATGTTGTAGGTGTAGAAATACACAATGTGGCAATTGATTAGACATGTGGACTGAGTAAGAGTAAAGAGTCAAGGATGATCCTAAGGTTGTGAAGTGAGTAACCAGAAGGATAATGGTGCCTTTGAAAGAAATAGGAAAGTTCAGAAGAGAAGTGGATTCGGAAAAATAGACAATGAGCTGCATTTCAGATATATTGAATCTGAGATGTATATGCAGCAACCAGCTTGAAAATTATTTTGTAAATACTCATCATGAATGCTGTTAATAAAAAAAATGTTTAATGAAATTCTTTCTTATTCAGTCTTTAAAAACACAATAAAGCTAACTCTTTTATCTGCCTCTCCAAGGAGACTCTGATCTATCCTTGCACTAATCTTCAACTTTCTTTGGTCTTCTGGTTTCATTTCTAATCAAAATTTCAATATGATTTTTTCCTTTGTTGGTTGCTGGACAAGTGAAATTTGGCCTTCCAAGACCTCCTAGAAGTGGCTGAGGTCGAGGATTCTAGAGGCTCGATTAAGCATAGATTTTTTCAGAGTCATCAGGTATCCATACTCCTTTCCCCTTGAAGAGATGTCCAGTTAGGGTTTTCTTGGCCATATGGGTAAAAAAGAGAGAGAAGCCAACATATAAATTCCATATTGAGTTGTCCTGATCAGTGACTAAAACAACCTGTGTCACTGCCTTGGCAGGTACAACGACATAAGAGTGGAATAAGAATGGAAATTAGCTTAGGCTCCCAAATGGAATCCAAGTAGCTAGGTTCAGGACTCTGGTGGTGGACAGTAACCAAGAGGAGAACCAAGGTTATGAGGTACAACCTGGAGTGAAGGAGACTAGCAGCTGCCAGGAACACAGCCATCAATAAGATCAAGCAAAATTACACGCCATTCTTTTCTTTTTCCTCTATTTATTAAATACATACTAAAGAAATCTACTTTGAGTTCCAAAACTTATCTAATCTTTTCCCTTTAAGACCCCCAACCCAGATCTGGGAGAAAAGGTAGAGAAAAGAGAAACAACTCCAGCTCTAGAGATACTATAACTTGCCACCTGACAGCCTTCTGTGTTTTACTGCTTGCTTGGCTTTCTATGCCACCTGATGGTTTTAATAAATCCCGTGGCCATTAAGAGCAAACTGTCAAATCTCTGACTTGGGGAGCTGTGATTGGGGGAAAGAGGAAGAAGGAGGAAAGGAGTGACATATCCAGTGTCCAAATAGAGGGCTCAACAAGTAGAGGGGAGAGAGACTTCTTATTTTTTAGTTACTTTGGGGCATAGTCCAGCCCATATCAATAGACCTTTACTGAACCTAGAAACCAGCTTAGTGTCAGTGGGGCTCCCCTAGAGCCAACAGGTTCTGGAGAGAGGAAGAGACAATTCAGAGGCGGCCAAAGCACCATCTGGTGGTCAAGCCATACACTACAATTTCATGACAGCCTGCCACTTGCTCTCCCAAGTGGCAGAAAGCAGCAGCAGAAGCAGCTAAGGCTGGACCAATACACTGCTACAGGCACCTCTCATATTTGCCACCTAAACCTGTTGTCACACAAGATTCCCAAATCTGGAGCACCAACAACCAAATTAAAGTTAATAGATGATGTAAAAACTGTGATTCTTTGTACCCTCTGCCCTCTTTTCTGCCACCACTATTGCTGAAGCAGAGAGTGCCACACAGCACTGAAGGCCATTTTACAATTTTTCGTTGTTTTATGGTTTGCTGTGGCTAAAGAATCCATGACCAAGTAAGCCAGCCTATCGGTAATAGGCCTCTGCATACTCAAGCTGGTTCTCAGGAAGCAAACTGTACTCAATGTTCCTGCTCCTGCTCAATCTGCTACTGTACTCAAAGCCTTCCCAGAGCTCATCATCACCTGGCAATGCCTTCAAGAACCCCGACACAATTATACAGCAGAGGAGTAGGACTTTGTGGAGGGGACCCATAAATACCCATTTATAATAAGGTGTATAACAAATAATTTACAGTTACAAGAAGACAAGAGTATTTTTTTTAAAAGGTCTTCATGCTAAAAATCACAAGGTCTCTAAATTCTAACAAGTCTAAAATGGATGTTCTCTACTACAATAAAAAACTGTTTAATAGCTTGTGAATTATTCATTTTGCATACTTAGCCACAGAAAATAATTAATCCCAGGTGAACAGTCTCCACCTATCTAGCACACTTCTGGGCCATGTCCTCCTGCTTCTAGTTGGTATACTCTTAATAAGGCTAATATCAAAATTAGTTTGTGTAAGTCTACCATATTTAAAAAGATAAATCTTGTGGAGGAAGTAATTACAGAGTACATTCAATAGTAAATACAGAATATTTTTAGATTTCTCTACTATCATTTGATAGTTAACTCTCAATTACATTGAAAATTATTAATAAAATGAACATAAATACCTTTTCCTCTTCCACAGCACACATCCTTGTTTGCAACTTGATAAACAATGAAAAATTTAAGAATACAAAATTACAACATACTAATTAGATATTATGTTCTAATCAAAAAAATAAATATACATTTCTATCATAATGTATATTACATTCATAAAATCATAGAATTTTCTAACTGAAAGGCCCCTTAATTACCCTCTCGTCTAACGATCTTATTTTATAAATGAGAAAATTAAATCCTAAAGAGATGAAATGGAGATGAAGAGGGAAAGGCTTGAAAAAACTTTTTTAAAAAATGTACCCTTTTCCTATCAGTGCCCTGGGAGACAAAGGCCCAGCTTCAAGTTCCAAACCTGACACTAACTAGTAGTGTGATCTGGCTCCTTAATCCATCTGGGCCCTCCAGATATGAAATCCTCTGGTTCTGTGACTTTCCTAGCAGGACTCTTTTCTGCTCTCCAGTCTCCAGAGTCTTTATGCTGCTTCCTGGCAGGCCAAAGCCTTTTTCTATAGCATTTCAACCAGTTTCTCTCTAAGCCTACCATCCTCCCAAATTGGCCCAACCTCCAAAAAAACTCAGATTCACTTGGTTAGGTTGACCTCAGCTGGGAATAAGGAAGAAAGATATGGGGATAAAGGAATTCACACAAAGGGTGTGATTAATATGTTTAAGCCTGCAGGCATAAAAGCAGTAGCAGTTTAAAAGAGAAACTTGGTAAAAATCTAAATGAATTTTTAGTTGGTAGATTATTGGGGGGGAGACTTTTTTAAATAAGAAGTCCTTCCACGTATGCCTAGCCAACTCCCAAAATTCTTTCCAATTAGATATTTAAGATATATAGACGTACATATAGCATTTACAGGTATGTGGTGTACATACATCTGTGTGTGTGTGTGTATATATATATATATGTGTGTGTGTTATTACACATGGTAATGTATCTCCATATCCCTTTTACACATATACTATATATGCATATATATACATATATACATATGTATGTATATATGTGGGGAAAGTATATGAATATATAGATGTGTGTGTATGGAGTGTCTTTGTTGTAGGTGGAGACAGGGATAAAAGGAAGAGGAAGAGAATGCATAAGTTTGGGGGAAAGCCTGCAAGAGGCATCCTCTTTTCTGCTGGGCACACTGACTTACACCTGTATGTTCAGTCATTTTTCAGTCATATCCAACTTTTCATGACCCCATTTAAGGTTTTCTGGGTAAATATACTAGAGTGGATTGCCATTTCCTTCTCCAGTTCATTTTACAGATGAGGAAACTGAGGCAAATGGGGTTAAGTGAGTTAATCTGGGTCACACAATTAGTTCTGTGTCTGAGGCTGGATTTGAATTCAGGAAGATGAGTCTTCCTGATTCCAGCCCAGCTTCTCCACTGTGCCACCTAAGCTTGTGTAAAAACATTACAGAAATAATTAGGGGATGAAAGGAAATGTTGAGAAGTCACAGAAGCTAGAACTCTGGAATCCCAAATACCTAAAGACTATTTTCTTAAATAGGTATCTGTCCTCCTGACAGTTCTTTCTTATTACTAACTGCTCAATTGAGAGCCTACTTTGTAGTAATCACCTCCCCTGAACTTTGACATCATTATCACCTCATCAACCACCCCTAACTTCTCAACACTCTAGAAATTTTGCTACAGTTTTCCATTTTATGCATATAAGCAGGGGCAATGTGCCAGAACCCACAGGGTGAAAGGCAAAAAGTTTTCAAACAAATTACTTAAGTCATTCAAGACAGAGGAGTACTTCTCCTAGGTATTTTGAAAAGATGATTCCACAATACCTCAGTATAATTCATTCTGCTACCTAACTCTTCCTGTCAATTTCAATTTATTATAGTTACCAAAAACTTCACCATTGAGATTTATACCCATTTCTTTTTCGTCTGTCTTTAGGAAGGATGCAGACTAGTGGTAAATAAGACCTCCTTAAAGAAGTAAAGATTAAGTTTTAAAAGTAGAGCTTTTTTTCTATCTTTATTGAATTACCTGCTTTTTAAAAAGTGTCATAGCTTCTTTATGCTGCTTTGTTAATGTTTCTTTTTGATGTTGAAGATTTTCCTGTTTTTAAATGAAAACATATTAAAAGAAAATCTCAAAAAGAATTAGATATTATTTTATTTCTTAAGTTTCATACGTTTGAAATTTAAAGAAAAGTTAAATGTTTCAACTGTATCCTTTCCTTCTCTTGCAAAAATTAACTTTATTTTATGATTAGCAGTGTCTACTACATCGTAAGCTCTTTAAAATGCTTGGTGACTGTATCAGATTTTAGATTTATTGATTCTTCTGAAATCAAAATAAATTATTTTTATATCACTTTCTTCCCCTTCACAATATGTGTCATTATTCTGGCTTAGAAAATTTGGACATAGATCCCTCCAGAGCTTCCTTCAGGAAAAGAGCTGTTAATTAATGGTCACTCAAGAGAATAATCTTATTAGTTAAGTACACTACATTTTCGGACTCCCAGAAGGTAGCTTTCAGACAAGATTCAAAAAATGAACTTAGAAATTCATACCATAATATATTTCCAATGGATTTGTTGGACTAGCCAATAAATGTAATTTGAATATCACTTACCTAAATATACAAATATAATAAATGTCTATCTGACCCTTGGTTTCTTGATTATTTAAGCAAAATGTCAGGTTCTTTCAAAAATTATTTCAGCTGAATGTGCCAAAAATATAGGTGATTCTTTTAGACAAAGCAATTAATTTACTTTGATGTAATTTAAAAGTTTTGGAGTCAGAAGGCTTTGGTTTGAAACCTGGCTCTGCTACTTACTAAAACTGCATAAACTTGAGAAAGTCACTTTGGGCCTCTCCAGGCCTCAGTTTCCACTATATAAAATAAGGAAATGGTTGGCACTCTTTATTACTGGTTCTTTGGAATCATGGTTAGTCATTGATTTGATCAGAGTTCTTAACTCTTAGTTGTTTGTTTTTCAATGTTATTATTATATTATAAATTGTTTTCCTGGTTCTGTTTACTTCACTCTGCATCATGATGTTCATACAATTCTTCCCAGGCTTATTTGAAACCAGCATCCCTTTTGTCACTTCTTACAGTACAACAGAACAGATATAATGGACTAAATGTGCAATGAGACATATTTTTGGACATGGGAATTTGTTTTGCCTGATTATGAATATTTGTTATAAGGGTTTTGTTTTTCTTGTAGTTTTTGGTGGGTGTGGGAAGGAAGTAGATAGGAGATAAAATTGCTTGTTCATTTAAAAAGAAGATTTAATTTTTAAAAAGAAAGAGGGAAAAATAAAATGGGGGTATGAGATGGACTGGATGATCTATAAAGTTCTTTCCAGATCAAAGTCCTAGATGACCTTTCATGATATCAATGAAGTGATTCAGCTTTGTAAGAACATGAAACTCAACCCTTTTCATTTTACAGATAAGGGAATGGAGGCCTAGAGAAGTTCAGTAGCTCAAACAAGGTAGCACATTGCAGGACAAGGATTTGAACAAAAGTCCTCTCACTCCAAATGAATCCTCTATTCCCTGCATTCTGCTGTGTCTGACCTACTGTACAGAACTCATATGTCCCTACATGTCCAATCAGTCAACAAATATTTATTAAGTGTTTACTATGTGTCAGGCACTGTACTAAGTACCAAAGATACAAAGAAAGGCAAAAACATTGTCTGCCTTCAAGTAGCTTGTGTTATAATGGAGGAGACAATACAAAAATAACAATCCATGTTCAAGATATACAAAGTAAATAGAAGGTAGTCTGAGAGGGAAGGCACTAGCAATTGGGAAGAGGTGAGGAGGCTGGAATGCCTCCTACAGAATGTAGAAATGGAGCTGAGTTTGAAAGGCAGGGAAGTTGGAAACAGAGGAAAGGAGGGAGAACAAACTAACCACAGAGAATAACCAGTGCAAAGGTTTGGAGATGGGAGAGGGAAGAAGTAAACCGGTGGAGCTGAATCACAGAATATGTGGAAGACTCTAATGGTAGGCAGAGGCCATGTTGTGAAGGGATTTAAAAGTCAAACAGAGGATTTTATATTTGATCTTGGAGGCAAGAGGGGGCCAATGGAATGTACTGAGTTGGGTGGTGATATAATCACACTTGCATATTAGGAAGATTACTTGAGTGGAGAGAGATTTAAGGCATGGAGACCTACCTAAAGGCATGAGGAGAGGAGAGCCTGATTTGAGTGGTAGCTGTGAGCAAGAAGAGAAGAGGACACGTATAAGAGATGTTGTGATGACAGAGACAAGAGTTGGCAAGAGATCGGTCATGTGGAAAGAGTCTGAGAAAGAAGTTCAGCTGATACTGAGGCTGTGAGCCTGGGTGACCAGGAGTGTGGTGCTGCCCTCATAGTACTAGGGAAGATAGGAAGAGTAGAGGGCTCAGGAGTAATGATAATGAGTTTCATTTAGGATCTGCCCAGTTTAAGATGCCAAAGAGAATTTGGTGAAGCAAGAATGGAGCTCAGGAGAGAGGCTAGGTATTTAGAATTGGGGATCATCTACACAGAAATGATAACTGAACTCATGTGAGCTGAGGCGATCACCAAGGGAAATAAAGAAAAGGAGAAGAAAATAGGGCCCAGGACAGAGCTTTAGGCTAGGCAGTGTGATCTGGATGAACAACCAGGACAGGAGAATGAAAAGGTGTAGTCAAACAGGTCGGAGGAGAAACAAGAGAAAAGTGTCATGAAAATCACCAGGGGTGGGGAAACCTGCAGCCTCAAGGCCACATGTGGCCCTCTAAGTCCTCAAGTGTAGCCCTTCACAGAACAAATCCCCTTAATAAAAAGATCTGTTCTGTAAAACTTGAACTCAGTCAAAAGGTCACACCCAAGGAGCTAGAAGGCCACATGTGGCCTCAAGGCTCTAGGTTCCCCACCCCTGAGACCATTAGCTTTAGCAATTAAGAGATCATTGGTGATTTTGAACAGAGCAGTTTGGTTGAATGATAAAATCAGAAGTCAGATTGCAGAAGGTTTGAAATGAAGTGAGAGGAGCCTAAGTGGAGACACCAATATAGACAAGTTTTTCATGGAGTTTAGGGGGAAGAAGAAGAAGAGAGACACAGAATAATGGCTAGCAGCAATGGCAGAATCACATAAAGGTTTTTTAAAGATGGGAGAGACCTGACATGTTTTTAGACAGCAGGGAAGGAATAAGTAGATAGGGAGAGATTAAAGATTATCAAGAGAGTAGAAATGATAGAGGGGGCAATCTGCTGGAGATGGAAAGGATGGGACTAAAGACACAAGTAAATGTGTTTGCCTTGGCAAGTAGAATGTCCATTTCTTCATGAGTGACAAGGGTAAAGGAGGATATAGTAGAGGAAGATGTCTGAGTGATGTGAGATGAGGAGGAAGGAAGAAGATGGAGCTCTGATTCCTGTGTGGAAAGCATTGAATATAAACCAGAGTGTTGATAAGAGATAGAAAATGAAGTCTAGCTTTAGGACCTATAATGAGCAAGAATAATCCACTTTAAGAGTATCAGTATCAAAATGATAAAATCAGATCACATACTTAGTTGGGTAAAGGAGGGCAGCACCTGAAATAATACTGTCTGGGTACCTGCAAAGTAGAAGTTTCCATAGAGCACCAAAGGAGAAAATGTATTGAAGTGAAAAAACATGAATATTTAACTAGAAAATATAAAAATAATTTCTCTAGATTAAAAAAACACACATCTTGGCTATCAAAAATGAGTCAGATAAAGTTCTCAATCAGCAGACACATGGTCTTTGGGTCTAGAAAGAGGGAATGAATCATTGTAATTTAATCTGTACAACATCAACATTTTAAATTTATAGTGTTTTACAGTATAATAAGTATCGATTTCATATTATTTTGTTTGATCCTTGAAATAACCTTGTGAGGTAAAGCAAATCAGGTATTGTTTATTTTGGAAATAAGATAAGTGATATTCACGGGCTGAAGTGATTTCCCTACAGCTAGTAAGCTAGTCAGCGTTTGAGGCAGGACTTGAACAAGACCTACTGCCACCGCACCACAAATGGCCTCAAGGAAAGCATGATCCTGGTACTAAAGGCGTGCTGCAGTTCACAGAAACGTCAGCATAGAGTTAGAGCTAGAAGGGAACCATGAATCCAATCCCCTCATTTTGTAGTCGAGGAAACTGAGGCTCAAAGAGGCTAAGTGAATTAACCAAGGTCACACAGAGGAGTGAATGTCCACGACAGGGATTGAACCCAGAGCCACAGCTGTTTCCAATGTACCAAACTGTAGCCTTATTTCTTTAAAGCAAAACCTAATCATTTCCAGACCCTGAAACTGAGAGCTTAGGCTAATTTTCACAGGACTTTTAGGCTTTTGTCAGTTAAAATCTGAGAATTTATGGAAGGCTTAGCTCTAAGATTTTTATTTTCATGACATGATAATTCTTAATATATCTTCAAATGTAAAATCTAAATTATTAATAAGCATCAGATTCATCTGAAATTTAAGTCTAAAAATCCAAACCGGATAGAAAAATACCCACCTTTTGCCATTGAAGTTCTTGCTTTTCTATAATTATCTTCCTGATTTGCTCTTCATACTGAATTTCTGCTTCCTAGTTTTAAAAAATGAAAAAAGTTAGCTACTAATTGAAACCTAAAAGCACATGAATGATCATGAATAATAAAAGAAATGCAAATCAAAACAAATCTGAGGTTTCAAATTCTACCAGCAATTGGCAAAGCTAAGAAAAGATAGTGATACCCAATTGATAAATGGTCAAAGGATATGAACAGGCAGTTCTCAGATCAAGAAATTAAAGCTATCTATAGCAAACATGAAAAAATGCTCTAAATCACTATTGATTAGAGAAATGAAAATCAAAACAACTCCAGGGTACCATATCACACCTATCAGATTAGGTAACATGACAAAATAAGAAAATGATAGATGCTATATACAAACAGGATACATACAGGATAAATTGCAGGTAATCTCAGAGGGAAGGCACTAAGATTAAGGAGGGCAGGGAAAGACTTCTTACAGAAGGAAGGACTTTAGCTGAGACTTGAAGGAAGCCAGGTAAGCTAGGAGGAGGAGATGAGGTTGGAGAGTATTCCAGGTGTAGAGGATAGCCAGCAGAAACACTAAGAGTTAGAAAATGGAGTTTCATGTATAAGGAACAGCAAGAATGACAGTATCACTAGATTGCGGAGTACAATATATAGCATATACACATATGCAGATATACAGCATAAATGTAAATGACCAGCATAAAAGATATATAACAAATAGAAATATGTAGCAGGTACACACACACATATAAAGATATACAACATAAAGTTAATAAATACATAGATATATGTGTATATGTGTGTATAGATAGATATATACATAGAAAAAAAATTGTTAAATACAGGATAGTTTGGGAAGAAGAGTGCTAGAAGTTGGGGGTAGAAGGAAGATCTAGAAAAACTTCACGTGGAAGACGGTGCCCGAGCGCCATCTTAACATTCTACGAAGCAGAGGTAAAAAGCGAGTGACTCCCACGCATCTGGGATGGCCAGTGTGAAGCCATTAGGAGAGGAGATGGGTTGTTTTGAGTGGGTCACAGAGAGAAGGCCAGTTTGGCTGGCTGCAGCATATGAGAGAGGGAGCAATGTCCAATGTAGCTGAATAGGAAGGTTGGGCCCAGGTTCTACAGAAAAAAGTGAATAAAGGGAGTTTATATTTTTTTTAATTTTTTTATTAATTTATTTTTAGTTTTCAACAATCACTTCTATACGCTTTTGAGGTTTAAATTTTTGACCCTCTCCCTCTCCAAGAGAGCGTGCAATCTGATATAGGCTCTACATATACATTCCTATTAAACGTATTTTCACATTAGTCATGTTGTAAGGAAAAATTAGAACCAATAGGAGGAATCACAAGAAAGAGGAAACAAAATAAAACAGAAGAAAAAGAAGAGTTTATATTTTATTCTAAAAGCAATAGGAAGACCCAGGAGTTGGTTGAGTAGGGGAGTCTCATGGGCAAATCTATTCTTCAGGAAAATGTCTTTGGCAGCAGTGTGTAGGAGAGGTTGGAACGCGGCGAGAATTGAGGCAGAGGGGCCAATGAGGAAACTGCTGCAATAATCCAGGTGAGAGGTGATGAAGGCTTGACCTAAAGTAGTACCTGTGTAAATGGAGAGAAGGGGTCAGATGTGAGAGATGTTGTGAAGGTAGAAACAGCGAGATTTGGCCACTGATTGGATATATGGGGTGAGGAAGAGTGAAGAGTGTTCCAGATAATACTGAGATTAAGAACTGGAGACACTAGGAAGATGACAAAATCATTTTGACATAAGTAGGGAAGTATATATGAGGAGAGGGCTTGGGGGAAAGATAATGAGTTCAGTTTTAGACATTTCCAGGACTTCCAATTTGAAATTTCCAACAGGCATTTGGTGATATGGGACTGGAACTTGGAGAAAGAGACTTAGGGTTGGTTATGTTTCAGTTCAAATGTTTTAAGTAAAATAACTAGTTTGTGCCTGGTTACTAAGTGGTTATTTGACTAAAGTGATTAACCATTAACTAATTAGGCAGTCACAATAGTCAATCTGCACATGTATATGAAACTTTAATGTTCAGTTGTTTTAAATATCTTTAAAATAGGTCTTCTCAGCTACATTAAATCTATTACAGAACGGAGAGTCTGTTACAGACAAAAATGATTAACTAAACAACAACTTCAGCCTTGAGAGGAGACTCCCTCTACTATAGTTTCCCCTGTGCCTCAGTTATCTACAGAAAGGGAGGACCCCAGGAATACAGAGTACTGTTCCTGGCAACTATGCACCTCTTGACCTTATTAACAATGACATTGAAAGAAAGGATAGAGCAGAGGCCCACAAGCAGCTCATAGACAAGGGCCTATTTGTCTATAGCCTTAACATAGAGTGGCTTCCTGCCCAAAATATGCTGACTTCTAGAGGCTGGCATCTCCCCTGCATCCCACCTTTATCAATCAGTCAACAAATGAATTTGTCAAAAAAAATGTTTATTGAGTGCCTACTACATTTAATGTGCTGTGATAGATGCTGTAGTTTCCAAGGTCCCTTCCAGCTCTAAATCTATGACCCTCTAAGACATGATCCCTTCCCTCAATAGACTTATGCCAACTGGGAAGATAAGACATACATATGTCACACACTGCCTCAAATTAACTTTTTTACAAGCGCCAAATGAATAGTACATACAATAAGTACCATAGAAGAAAGCACCAGAGAAGGGAGAAATCACTGTGGACCCGAGTATTTAAAGAAGACTTAATAGAGGAGCTAGAACTTAAGCAAGGCCTAAAAGGTAATTGTGATTCTAATAGTCAGAGATAGGGGGCAGCCCTTCCAATATCATCAATGGCAAAGGTTAAATGAGTAAAGTGGTTGGCATAGGTAACATTTTGGAGCTTCTTAGCTCCTGTTGGTACCCTTTCCTCTTCCAAATACCAAACACAGTATCGTATATCTACAGCAGGAAATGACCATCCTGTGCCCCACACTTATTCTCAGCCGACTGTCATTTAAAACTTCAGTGGATCTAGTCATATCAATGTGGTATTCCATTCAAAGGTACAAACTGTCCCTTCTTACCTAGCCAGTTTTCTTCTACATTCTTCTCATCAACATACTTTGTGGTCTAGCCATAGTGGCCTTCTTGCTATTTCCTACACACAATCCTCCATCTCCTATCCTAGAGCCTTGGCACTGACTATCCCCCACACCTGAAATGCACTCACTCTTCACTTCTACCTGTGGAATCCCTAATTTCCTTCAAGATTCAGCTTGAGCTCCATCCACCTTCTACATGAGCCTTGTCTTACACCACCATCACCTTATTTTAGGGCCCCCCACCCCAAACTACCTTGTATTCATTTTGCATATATTCTGTTTATACTTATGACATACCCACTATGTCTTTGCTCATTCTTCTCTATATCCTATCCCCCAGAATGTAAGCTTCTTGAAGGCAGGGGCTATTCCACTTTTGTTTTCATATATCTCAGTGCTTAGCATAGTCTATAGATGCTTATTGGTTTTTGGGGGTTTTTTTGTTTTTGTTTTTTTTTGGTGAGGTAATCAGGGTTAAGTGACTTGCCCAGAGTCACACAGCTAGTGAGTGTTATGTGTCTGAGGCCGAATTTGAACTCAGGTCCTCCTGAATCCAGGGCTGGTGCTTGATCCACTGCACCACTTAGCTGTCCCAGATAGATGCTTATTAAATGCTTGCTGACTGACATTTACATCTTAAGAAAGTCTTTCCCATGCATTCCTATGACTCATCCACAAAGGATCTACCCAATTCACTGGACACCTTCCTCTGGGTTTCAGCACATTCCATGAGTACTAGTGCAGTACTTGCCTGCTATTTCCTACTCTAGTCAGGTGACCAGCCCATCTCATTTTCTGAGATAGATATTTCATCCTACAGTAACTTCTGTGGGGGGAAGGTGGGGTGAGACTATGTGACTTATAGGCACTGCCCCCACTTTTCTTCATCATCCATTCATTCCCACACTTGAGATAGTAGGTATGAAGGCCATGCCTAAAATATCACCTTCTATTACTAGACACTAACAGCAACCCTTGCCAGCCAGCTGTCATCCAACAAATTTCTAAATTTTTTTAAATTCTGAATTATTTTCCCCTCACATCTATCTGCCTAAATTGATTTTTCACACATGTAATTAAATTCAGCCAAATATATCTTGGCATTAAAATTTTTAATTAAATTCATCAGCAAATGGAGGTAATTTTTTCATATAAGGAATTTCTACCTTTTAATATAAAATAGGTCAGTTATATAGTACTGATAACACTTCCACTTATTATGTGGAAATAAATTTTATGCTTATCTGTGGACTGCTCTGAAAGGTCCTCAGGAATTCTTACATGGTAAAGTCTGAGGGTTAGACGCTTTTGAATTGTTCAGCTGCAGACTGTCAACAGTGATCTCACTTGACGGGTAAACAGTATAGAACTGTGGAAACAATACAGAACTTGGAGTCAGGAGACCCAGGTTCCAGCTCTGCTAATAACCCTATGTGTGATTTGGAGCTGTTTCCTCAACTATAAAATGAGATGGATTAGTTGACCTCAAAGATCCCTTCTAGTTTTGACATTTTATATTTTAAAAACCCACTCCCCTTGCCTTTACGTTGTACTCATAATCATAATTATTTCCTAATTATTATGTTCTGCAGCACATAACAAGGAAATAAAATAAAATAAGATTAAATTTTTATTACTATGCTAAGCAGTACTTTGTTACTACAACAAATTTTGTTTGTATACTAATATATAAACAATAAACCCAAATATTCCCCTTCACTCCCTCATGAGAGACAAAAGGATGATTTGGATTGTTTATGACTTCATAGAAGGAGGAATATAATCCCAAATAATTTTAGTTATAAATGTATTTAAAATGTGCTATTTACAAACTATACATTATAAAAATAGACTGCATATATCTTAATATTGTGAACATTTTTCAGAAGTCAAAGTTTTATAACTAAATTGTCCAACAAGTCATTATAAATTGATTAGCAATGCCTTGAGTATAAAGGATG